GGACAACGCGGCCCCTGCACCCCCCCTGCCGTGACCTGCCCCCCCCCCATTGACCCGCCAAGGAGCCGCGCCATGTTTTCCAGGAAGAAACGGGAGCTGATCAAGACACCCTCCATCTCGAAGAAGGGCCGGGCAGGAAGTCCTGTGCCTCCTCCACTGGCCTCGGGGGTGAGTAGCAGAGGGCAGAGGCACTCGTGGGCCAAGGGGTCTCCTAGGATGGGTCCGTGGGGACAGTGAACGTGGCTTCTTACCACCTACACACACACACACACACACATGCCATGTGTAGCAGCCTGCCTGCAACAGGCTCTCTCCTCTGTGGATCAGGAGCCTGGTTTCATTTCAAAATGCTCGGGCGGGGGGGAGGAAATCCTTGCCTGATGCTAAATAGCCAGGCAGCCCTAAAGGGATCGCAGCAGCTGCCCTTGGGGGGGGGGGGGTTCACCGGTGTGGCCTCCTGGAGTTTGCCTACGTCTGTTTATTGCATGCACGTGGTAGACAGGGGTGCAGAATTGATCCCCTTTTTCTCTCTGGAGTTCTGGTCCCTGGAGAATGACAAATCTAGGAAGCGTGGGGGAAGGTGTGAATGTAAAGTAAGTCGGACGGCTCATGCAACCCCCCCTTTCACTTCTCCCCTTCTGCCCATTCTCCTCTGCCCAGTAACACCCGTCTCTCTCCTCTGCATCCACCTGCCAGCTTCTGGAGCCAGGCCGTGGGGATAATGAGGACGGCGGCCAGCCAGCTGCTTCCCTTTGGAAAGCAAGCAAGCAAATTAAGAATATTCAGCAGAACGTCATAGCCTGCGTGGATCTGGTTCTATTTCTGACAGCTGGGTTTTGTGGGGTTTTTTTCTAGTGAACCGAAACTTTGCCAAAAATTTCACTTCTTGTGGTGGACACGCCACACCGCCTTTTTTGCACTTGTTGATGTCTTGTGGTTCAAACGGGTCTGGCAGCTCCTGGAGGCAACACATACCTGCTAACTTGTGGCCCCCAGAAAAAAAGACAAGATACCTGTATGTACCACACACACCGTCCTCGGCCGTGAAGTGCCATCCAGACTTCCTTCAGTTCTGATAACGCCGCTTATCTGCACTGAACAGCTGGAATTTCAGCCGATGCAGAAGTGTGTCTTGGCTAACTGCCCGCCAAAGTGTGAAAGGGAAGTGTGTTTGTGTGTCTGCATTCGCTGCGTGAACAATTTGTGAAGGGCCTGGTCGCTGCTGCGCCTCCTGGCAGGCCAGCGAGTTGCTTGGTTCGGGTTTTGCTCTCGGACGCAGGCAGGCGGAGGGTCCCTTCCCTGCCCGACCGAGGGGTCGCCATCGCAGCGTTCTGACTGACGTCCATGAGCCGCCGTCCCCCCCCCTCGAGTCAGTCGGGCTGGGATCTTGTCCCATTTCCTCGCTGTCCTGGAAATGGCCCTTCGGGGCAGACTGCTGTTGAACATGGAGGTTTCACTGAATTGTTATAGGTCCATACCCGTGGGGGAGATGTTTCCTCCCCTCCCTCAGTAAATGGTCTGATGCTGGTTCATTGGTGGCAGTGAATCCTGTGCCTCAGTCACACACTTATAGTGAAGGGCATCCTTTTGCCTGCTTTTCGTCTCCCATCAGTACATAACTGGCAGGGTCTGGGAAGGCTTTTTTTGACGGCTTAAGCCTCTGCTTCATGGTGTATTTGTGGGAGGCAGATTTCAGCTCCTGTGGGCCTGAACTGAGATCATGTCATCTGACTGCAATTTGTTTGTTTTTTGTATTCGCGAAGGCTTTCACGGCCGGGATCTAATGGTTGTTGTGGGTTTTTCGGGCTCTTCGGCCGTGTTCTGAAGGTTGTTCTTCCTGACGTTTCGCCAGTCTCTGTGGCCGGCATCTCCAGAGGACTGGAGTCGGAACTCTGTCCATGCTCTGTTGCTGTTTGTTGGATAGTTGAGTATTTATAGCTGTGGGAACGGCTTTTTGTCTTTTTTTCCAGGAGATAGGGTGATCAGCATGTTTTTGTTGAGATGCTGATCACCCTATCTCCTGAAAAAAAGACAAAAAGCCGTTCCCACAGCTATAAATAGTACCCAACGAACACCAACGGAGCATGGACAGAGTTCCTACTCCAGTCCTCTGAAGATGCCGGCCACAGAGACTGGCAAAACGTCAGGAAGAGCAACCTTCAGAACACAGCCGAAGAGCCCGAAAAACACACAACAACCATGTTTTTTTGTTTGTTTTTCCTGTGTGTGTGCATCTTTCTCCTCCTCACACACAAACACAGACCCCAGCCCATGAAATCTTACCTCCCAGTATAATGGTCAGTCTTCAGAGTGCCACAGAGTCCCTCGTTGTGCATGTTCACTCTGTTTTTGCTTGAGCTGGACTTGATTTGCCCGGTACAAGGCATAATGTCTAAAATTAAGAATTTCGTCTCTCATTTTTCCTGGTGGGAGTCCTGTGTGCAGAAATGTGGATCTGCGGGGAGCCCTGCCGCTAAATGTGCCTTTGGTGGCAGAACCTCGTTCCAGGAAGCCTGAAAAATCAGAAGGGAATGCCTGAAAAAAAATCTCTTGGCCCAGCTAAGCCTCTGCTCAAATTGTGCAAGAGTTATTTATGCTTGCATGTCTGCTGGAGGATAGGTGAATGCGTAGCCTATAATTAGGGGCTTAAATGATTAGCCAACAAAGCTGGGTTATTGAACACCAGAAGACTCAATTGTGAACCAACACAAGTTTGGGGTTACGTTGTGCCATGATTTAATAATAATGTTGTAAGCCGCCTAGAGTGGTCGAAATGACTAGATAGGCGGGGTATAAATACAATAAAATAAATAAATAAATAAATAAATAAATAAATAAATAAATAAATAAATAAATAAATAAATAA